TGGTGCTTGGGAAGAGGCGGCTGAGCAGGCAGGTGGGAGCATTATCTAATGGTGCTCTCAAGCGTGGCAGTGCTCCTAGGTCTCCAGTATCAGGACCGTTATTAGCTCCATGAGTGTGCAGCTCTGGATGACCCTAGGAAATTCAGAGTTTTTTCAGCCTTCGGTAGCAGCAAGCATGAACAGCTCTTGGCTCAGGGTCCGAGACCCTTGGCCCGGAAGATGTGGCAGGTCTCTCTTACTCTTCTGGCAACTGGGACTGTAGTTTCTCTTCTCCAGCTTCGTAAAGCTTTTATCTTCCTCCAGTGTCAGCTCTTCCCTTCTGTTGCTGCCCCTTCACGACCAATACCCACCTTCCTACACTGGCCACACTTGGCCTGTCCTGCTGCTTCTTCCAACAGCTGCTGGCCTTGTCCTTCCACAGCTCTGCCTGTTGACAGCCAAACTGCCATTGGTAGGTCACGGCTTCTGCTGCCACTCAGCTGCCTCTTCTTTCTCCTGTTACCAGCTCAGTAACCTAGTGAAGAACTTTCCCCAAGGCAACTCCCAGATGACTCTAGATCTCGGTCAGCAATTGCGATGAACCATCGCAGAAGTTCCCAGGACAGCAATATCGGAAGAGCCTAAAGAACTCATGGCACAGCAGCGATGTGACACCTAACACCCGCCTAGTGCCTGGAAGAGGGGGGTTCCTCTCCTCAGGTTCTCACCTGTGGGTCGTGACCCCTTTGGGGTCAAACAACCTTTTCACAGAAGTTGCATATCAAATCTCCTGCATATCAGATATTTACATTACAGTTCATAACAGCAGCAAAATTACAGTTATGAAGTAGCAAGGAAAATAATTTTATAGTTGAGGGGTCACCACAACTTGAGGAGCTGTATTAAAGTATTAAAGGAAGATTGAGAATCACTATTCTAGATGGATGCGCATGGCTCTTTTTAGGCAAGAGTGGAGACTGCATTCGGTGTCATGGCAAATTTAAAACTATGCGGCGCTCTCTTCAGAGTGAAAAGGATGAGAAAATATAACCATGGTCTTCCTCTGCCACCAAAATACCCACTTGATTTTTCAAATACTATTTATCAAATCATCTTCACTTCTTAAAGATGTCGTGAAACTATCAAGCAGAATTGCTTTCTAATCATAAAACCTAGACGTCAGAGCTATCCTGAAGTTATTTGTTTCTAAATTATTTATAAATTTAAGTACATTACAAAGACAAATGATTTTCAATTTTGTTTTTATTTTGTATCAAGTCACTGCCACAAGCTGGTCTCAAACTGGCTACAGCGAGAGATGGAAGCAGCATATATTTAGATTGAGGTGCATTTGTACTCTAGGATTCCGGCAGGAACCCCAAGTCCAGGGCTCAGAAGGAGGAGTGGTTTGGGTTGAAAATGGGCTGACTGCTCTGAGCTGGAGTATCCACGTGAGTCTTTGGGGTGTTTCCGGTCTCATCTCTTAGAGGCGAGAGCAGGTTAATGAGATGCCGTCCGTCATCACAAACTGAAGGAGTTATGCTTTAAACACTGTGACATGAGGACTTTAGGACGTGGGATAGAATACTCCAGAAGACACAGGGAGCAAATGTGCTTTTGAAGGCCTAGAACAGATCGCCCTTTAGGTCAGTTTAGGTCAGTAAGAGCCGAGGCACCAGAAGAGGAAGCCTGCTACACAGCCAACCCCTGGACAGACAGCCCCCGCCCAGAAGCCTGGTCTCTGGGGACTAATCAGAACTTGCTCTATAACTATCCCTGTGTGGTTGTGTGTTTCTGCGGATGAGATGACCACAGAGCGGTAAAGCTCAGAAGGGTACACTGGAGACTGTCGCGGCAGAACGAAGCTCCAAAAGTAGGTGAGAATCGTAAATTTGGAAAATTTGGAGGGGCTATAAATTAAAAGCAGTGCTAATAAAATAAAAATAACCCATGACTAAAAATACACGTTAAAACAGTTTATCACACCAGAGACCCAAGAACAGCACAATATCCAAGTTGGAGTCCAGTCCTTGCCAGGCCAGGAAATCAGTTTGGGGTTCTGCAGCAATCGCTGACTTCCTTTGTCTCCAGGGCCAGTGCACATGGTGGGTGTTGTTTTAGTTGCCAGCAAACACTGTAAATATCCAGATTCTGGTCATTGTATTTTTATTATGAAAACCAGGAAACTTTTTTTTTTAAATGGAGGCTTAGGTTAAATTGTGGATAAACAATAGCTTTTGGTCGGGTTTAAATATGGCATGTCGTTTATCCTGTCATGGAAAATTAAGACAATTCTATGTTTAGACATATAGAGTAATTTTATTATTTTTAACAACAAGAACATTCTTGTGGACTTGTTTTCTTTACTGACAGCAAATTCAAGCAAGGCATGGAAACAGCTCATTAGATTAGAACTTCTGCTATTTGACCTTCGATCTTTAAGGCTCTTCCAGCTTTCAAAGTCTTTGATTCATTGATTCTAAAGTAACATGCTAGAAAATTCTGCCAAAGGAAGTCTATTTAGAACAAAGCTCTCGGATCATGGGGCACACATGTTTTCAGGGTGGAGCTCCCAAATATGAACCCAGAATGTGTGACTAAGCTGCAGGGTTGCCCGAAACCTGCCTAAATGCTGGCTCAGTCTTTGTCACTGTCGCAGGTGGCATTTGTGTCTCTCGGGTACAAACAGAAGGAGCCCCAAAAGTCTTGCCCGGTCCAGTACGGTACCGTTGTGATAGCTCGCTTTAGGAAACCAAAATAAAGTGACTCCAAAGGAATTTTAGAAAGTTTGGTTCCAGCTCTGTTTCTTACAGCCGGATGCTATCTGTCGTTTCCCTAAGTGGGACTTCAGGTTACTGTGACGTCCATTTAAAGATCCAAGTTAAAATCCATGTGACAATTTAATAATTAAATTTCATTAGACTTTGTTTTGTGGTGGTGGGCACCAAACTGGGCTTGTGGCCTAGTGAATATTAAAATACCTTCCGACAGATTCAGTGTATAGATGTAAGGAATAAGAAGGAGCTTAATCTCATTTTATATGGAAAGGCCCAAATCTTTTCAGGCTACGCTAGGATAATACCATACACTGGCTGTTTACCAACAAAAAATGTACTTCTCGGGCTGGAGAGATGGCTCAGAGGTTAAGAGCATTGCCTGCTCTTCCAAAGGTCCTGAGTTCAATTCCCAGCAACCACATGGTGACTCACAACCATCTGTAATGAGGTCTGGTGCCCTCTTCTGGCCTGCAGACATACACACAGACAGAATATTGTATACATAATAAATAATTATTTTTAAAAAAATGTACTTCTCAAAGCTGTCGAGGCCAGGGAGTCCAAGGTGACAGCCATGTCTGATGAGCGTCCACTCCCTAGTGTAGACAGGTCTATCACTTCACGTGGAGGGATGGCCAGGGCATTTCTGGGGCCTCTTTTGTACTGGCCTTAGCCTCACCCCGAAGGCTGTGCTGTAGGGGTGTCGGCAGGAGGAGTCTGCAGGAAGCGACTCGATGCTATGGGTTTCCTTCCTAGGCTTCTCTGCGTCTCTCATCTCCCGTCTTCTATTCTTACACAGTGTGACTGGGTTGGCACACTGTTGTAAAGACGTGGTCAGGACAATTCCTTCTGCCCTTATTTGGTGTCTCTGTTTATATAGGGAGAAGCTTTGCTTGTTTATTTCTGCTAGGCACTGTTGAAATCCGATCTTTGGCTTCCAAATTTATAAAACTTTTTACTAAATATGGAGCGATATTCTGGTACTTTTTTGTCTTTCCAGACAAGAACTCTCCTTTTTTTGTAGAATTTAAGAATGGCAAAAAGAACTAAGTCATCCCTGTGGTATTTTCCAAAATCACAAACAGCAATCACCCAGCTAATAGAAATACCAGATACAGTAGCTCGTTTCTCTTTTATGTTATGTAAAAAGGACATTTCTAACCATCATAGATGCCCTGAGAACACGTATAGACAATTTCTGCAATCTCTCTTTTTTTCATTTTTGAGCCAAAATGGAACTTTATCCTCATACATTGTCGCTGTGACTCTCAATAATAAAGTTAACTGAACTTCACCTTCTTATCATGGTGAGAAGAGGTTGTGAACTTCATGCTGCAGTGGAGACCAAGATTCTGAGAGGTGGTTAAGTTCAAGTCTGAGGCGAGTTCTATGCCTAAAGGGTCCAGCAGGCCATTCTCCCTGGACCGGGTGCTGTCTCGGTATCAGTTAGGTTGACTTAGGACGTGTTCGGGACAGAGTCTCCGAAGGGAAGAGCACTTCAGCTAGAAACTGGTATAGGGCACTGGAAGGAATTTCTACTTTCTGCTATCAGAAAATAAAGACAAAGAGTGGGAAGGTAACTCTGTGACTAAAGGTACTGGCTGCCCAGTCTAATGAAACCTAATGATCTGAGTTCCGTTCCCAGAACCCACATGGTGGGAGAGAAGCCGCTGCCGCAGGCTGTTCTCTGACCTCCACACTGTGGAGTCGTGGCAAGCCTGCACACCTCACACCCCAACACGAATGAATTCATAAATAAGTAGATGTAAAAAGTTGTTATTTCCTAACCAGACCCACGTTTTTCAGTGTAACTCTTAAAACAAAACAAGGGGAAAAATTCTTTGGGATCTGCAATCTAGTTCTAAGTATTAAGAATTAAAATGGAGGGCCTGAAAAATGGCTCAGCAGGTTAAGGCTTTTGCCACCAAGCCTGACAACCTGACTTCAGTCCTCAGCAAGGATAGAGCTAAGTCCTGGAAGTCATCCTCAGACTCCACATACACACAGTGGCGTGTGCTCACCCCCCCGCCCCGTACACACTGCACAAGCACACTGCGTAAATAAGTGTAATACGTTTCCAAATTCAGCTGGGTAGTGATGGTGCACATCTTCAATCCCAGCACTCAGGAAGCAGAGGCAGGTGGATCTCTATGAGTTTGAGATCAGCCTGGTCTATAGCAAGAATTCCAGGACAGCCAGGGCTATTCAGAGAAACCCTGTATCCAAATAAATAAATAAAATTCAAGTGGAATTTGCTTAAACAAAAAGGAAATCTTTCAGGACTGAGATGCAGTGATTAAACAGCTTATTCCCTCCCTCTTCTTCCCCTCCTCCTTCCTGTCCTCCTGCTCTCTGAAAAGGAAGAACCTTTTCCTTTTAAGAGCACTGGGAAATGCAGCTATGCATTTCTGCTCTGGAAACCACATTTGATTCTGGCACCATACTTTTAAAAGACCATTGACAAACTGGAACTTGTGCAGTAAATCACCCAGATGGCAAAGGAACCTGAAACCAAGTCATATGAGAGACAGTTGGAGGAAGTCAGGAGACTCAGCCTGGCGGAGAGAACCAGAAAGCGTCACAGCCATGGTGCTCAGGCCTGGGAGAGACTCCAGCCCGGGGATGCATCGTGTTCTGTCCCTTAGGGCCTTCCAGAACAAGGGAGAACAAGGTTATCTAAAAGAACCAGAGACAAGTCAAGGCCATGCCAAAATGAAATATGTCATGGAGGACATGAGTTGGCCCCTGTGGTGTACTTCCATGGGCCTCCCAAACTCCTCTGTGTAACCACAGAAGAGTAACCTTTCTTCCTCCTTAGCCTTCCTAGGGTCTATGACATTCCCTTATGTTGATGCAAAAGAAATCATGATTTTAGACCGTGTATCACTGTAAATAAAATCAAACATATCTTTACTAAATGGAGTCATTATAAACAACTCCCCCATTTTTGGAGTCAGGGTCTCAACTATGCATCCCTAATTGGCCAGGAACTCACAATGTAGCCCAGGCTGGCCTCAAAATCAGAGGTCACCTGATTCACCCAGGTCAACCTGTTTTTGCCAGTGAAAAAATCAGTTTGTTTCTTCCTGTGGTATAACACTCATGCTTTAGAATTCAACAAGGTCTTGGCAAGAATGTTCTATGTCCTGCTGGTTATGGAAGCATTTTCTCTGCAAAAAAATTCTCAAGATGTTTGAAGAAGCAGTACTCAGTTGGCAAGAGGTCAGGTGAATATGGCGGATCAAGCAAAACTCTGTAGTCCAGGACCAAGATGATGCTCAGGCAGCAAAAGCACTCACCGCACATCCTGAGGACCTGAGTTCCATCCCCAGGACCCATAGTGGGAGAAGATAGCAGACTTTGAAAGTTGACCTCTGACCTATTCATGCACACCCTTGCACATAACCCAAAGCTGCAATATCTACTCCATTATAAAGAGGGGAAAACAGAAAGTAAATTGCAATCAAAATACATGTCTTGTAGTACACAAATCCCCCAGCAGGGCCCCACAAGAATTATGGTCGGGTAGGTAAAGTCCACAGTCAGAATCCATGGAGCTACAGGTCCGACTGATAGCTCACAAACTGCACAGCTTTGATGCTGAGGATGGGGTGGCATTAAGTCGTGACAGTCCTAAGTAAGGTTCCAACCAGAGCAAAGTATAGTCCTTGTTTCTGTGAAGGCTCTGGGTGGGCAGGTCAGCTCTGTTTTCCGTTCTGTGTAAAACAGAATCAGGTTTTAGGCTCAGACAGTTTTAGTGGATTATCGCCCACATGGATGTCCAGGGGACTTTTAAAGTCAAGAGGAACATGGGAGTGCTTTATCATCTTAGTCTGAAGCATTGCATCATGTTGTATCCCTGGCAACACCCATCAGCCCCTGTAAACCAGAGATGTCGCTGTATGGTCCATGTCACCCAAGAACTAGCCTGAGGTCTAGATAGGACCCGGTTCTTCCCCCCTTTAACATCCTTACTGCTTGGTACCGGAGGTGCACACTACTGACGGGAGTGGAGCAGGCAGTCAAGGACGTCCAAGTACCAAAAGTTAGTTTTCCCAAAATGACCTAAGACCGCATCTTCCTCCTCCCTGCCCCACTCCCCAGTCTCTTTATCTCTGTAGTTTCTATTCCTGAACTAGATCATTTAGAACCTTCTCAGCAAGTGTACATTCACGGACATCACCACTTCCAACAGGTCACACTGCAGACCACTTCATTCATGGCTTAGTCACCCTCCCCACCCTGGCCTCGTCCTTGTCCCTGCTCTCACCTCCATTTTCACCGTCACCTGGGCTGGCTTAACGTCCACATCTCTCGGTTTCTGTGCTCTTTGTTTCTTATACTCACCAAACTGACCGTCCAGGGGTATAACACGCACAGCTTTGTCTGGATGAACTGCTGCTCCTTCACCCAAGAGGCTTCCCTTTGTCGTGAGGACTCAGACTCTGAGGTCGCCTGGGCCTGAATTATTCAGTGCATCTGTTCGTGTCCTTGTCCCAGCATTTTTGTTTGTTTGTCCCTGTGTGCCTGTGATCTCAGTTAGACCTTGAATTTCCTATCCAGAGGTTAATTACCCAGGCTCTGGAGTCAGTGCCTGGAGTTTAAATCCCACATGATTTAATAGTCCTGTGGCCTTAAGTCTTTAATGTCTTCTGAAGTCCCAGTCTTCTTATCTGTAAAATGGGAATAATATTAAAAATATTAATATTTTTATATCACCTCATAAAGATATTGAAGATTAAACACAAAACTTCAAAGGTTTAAGGCAATGGCTTGAAACGTTATCCAGTGACATTAGCTGTATATGTGCCCAACACCCTACAGTAAGCAGAACAGACAAAGTACTTACTGGCTGCTTAGGGTAGAAGTACTGATGGCTGATACTGTCCGGTTTTGAGATCTTCTCTCTCTCTCTCTCTCTCTCTCTCACACACACACACACAGAGAGAGAGAGAGAGAGAGAGAAAGAGAGAGACAGAGAAGAATGCATGTGTTCATGTACAAAATGACAAAATGGATGTTATATTTAGAAGCTCTAATTTTGTCATAAATAAATGTTTATCTGGAAAAATATGCTTAAAGCGGGAGAGGATCCATTTTCTTCTCTGACTTTTTGTATACATTAAGAAGTGCTTATTCTAGCTGGCCACTGGGAGTGCATACCATTAATCCCAGCACTCGGGCAGATCTCAGACAGACAGAGCAACATAGAGAAACCCTGCAACCCTGCAACCCTGCCTGGAAAACATACAAGCCAACCCCTTCAAAAAAAAAAAAAAATATGGGGGGGTGGGGGGGCGGGGGGGGGGCTCGATTCTGCCTCTGGTTGGTATGCCAGACCTTGCTGAGTCCTCAAGGAAGGCCCTACCTGCTCTGAGGAGTGGATGGGGGATGGGAAAGGGGTTGGTGGGGCACAGGGAGAACTAGGGTTGGTATATAAAATGAAAAGTAAAAATTTTAATAAAAAATATGAAAAAGTACTCATTTTTAAAAAATTTTATTTAATTTTATGTATGAGTGTTCTGCAGGCTAGAAGAGGGCGTCAGATCCTATTACAGATGGTTGTGAGCCACCATGTGGTTCCCGGGAATTAACTCAGGATCTCTGGAAGAGCAGCCAGTGCTCTTAACCACTGAGCCACCTCTCCAGCTCCAAAGCATTCATTCTAAAAGAACAATTGAAAACAAAACAAAAACCCTTTAAAGTTGCCCAGCATGGGAAGAAATTCTGTTCCTTGAAGTAGCTGTATTTTGGGTTTTGACTGACACCTGACTAAGTGAAGAGTGGGGAAAGTCACCTCCCTCTAGATGTGCCTGGGTCAGGGACGTGGGACACCTCCCAGACCGTGTGCTGAGCCGACTTCAGTAATAGCCTATACATCCCTATCCAGCCTGTCCCAATTACTTCCTTCCTTTAAAGTCTTTCTTTTTGGTTTCTGAAGTGCTGTTCGCAATAGAAAACGAACCCTCCATTTTTAAAAAACTTCCATAGTTACTGCTCAGTTAAACATTGAAATCCTGACATTTAATCGCTGTGAACTGGAACGCTCTGATTTCACTGTTTTCAGCTAGTAAATGTCACTTGCAACATTGTTGCCTTCACTCACACTTAAGCGCTTTCATCTGCGGTGGGCGCAGTGTGTCAGAGAATTCTTTGTGCACCACTGGGTGGGGGGCGGTGTATGTGTGTGCAGCTAAGCCCCGCCTTTAAACCCGGGCAGAAAAACTGCTTGCAAGGCAAAGACAGCCCTGTTTTTAGATGGTGTTTGTGAATTCCCAGCCCCGAGTTCTACCAGATACTCTTAAAGCCACTGCTTTAGCTCGGCGAGTATGGGTTCTGCTGCACTCAGAGATGATTGCCAGCCCAACAGCCCCTTCTGTGCCAAGCTGGGCGGCGGCTGCTAGTGGAGGGAGTACCTTCAGTGTACCCTCAGATTTCCCCTTTGGCCTAAGGAATCTTGCCTGTTGGCTCCTTAAATTGTTTTCAACTAGGATGTTGGCACCCAGCCCACCTGTAACTCTTCATCTTTTTTGTGTATTTGTTTAGTTTAATTTTGCTTTGCTTTGCCTTTTGAGACAGGAGTCCCCTAAGTAGCCCAGGCTAGCCTAGCTCACTCAGCCTCTTGAATGCTGGGATTAAAACCATAACATCTGACATTTTTTGGGGTTGAGGAGAGGGGTCACTTGTCACCATTTTGTCATGAAATAGACAATCAGTTTGTGGCTGTTTTCCTTACAAGCAATTGACTTCTTGTATCTGGTCCCTCTTTAAATTCTATCTCTGTGTGTTCGTACCTGGATCCCTGTGTGTGTGTATGTGTGTGTGTGTGTGTATGCACGTGTGTGCGCAAACATGTATGTGTGTGTGTTCACGTATGTGAGAGCGTGCGTGTATGTACGTGTGTGTATGTGTACATGTATGTGTGCACGCGTGTTTTCTCTCTAGCCTTTCATCTCTTGGGATTTTCATGTCCGTTCTTCCTTCTGTGGCGTCCTCCCCACATCCCAGCCCTAGGCCCTTCTGGGCCTCTGCCTCCTCAGTGCTCACCCCTTTTCTCTCTCATCTTCGCGCTCTGCCACATCCCGTTCTCCTCTCCATCTGCCGTGCACTGCCGCTCAGTCCCTTGACCACTTATCGCCGGTTCTGGTCCCTCATTTTCCTGGAGAGGTCAGTCAGTATTGGCCCATGATGTGGCAGGCAGCAGGCAGCCATGCGGGACGCATCCTTTGCCACTGTCGTGGGTGTGGGTCCTCAGCAGAGGTCTCAGGCATGCTTGTGTTTTTAGGCAGTCATGCCAGCCAGTGTTTCCAATTTCCATTTGAAGTCCAGAAATAAAGCTCATCGGAGAACCACTGAAGTGGAATTTTAGAGAGCCATGGACTTTTCCATCAACATGGATTCAGATCCCTCCCTGCTCTGTTACTCATTAGCCACATGACCTGGGACAGATTCATTCATTTATTTAACAAATACTTAGTGAATGTGTATATTTGTGCCTTGTGTTTAGCTCTTCAGGAGGCTGTTAGCCCTCTGACTTCCCCTCCAGTATTCACAAGTATTCAGAAATAAGATACCGGGGTAGAGGTGTTGCTCAGTGGTAGGGTGCTTGCCTGACATACACAAGACCCTGGGTTTGATCACCAGCACTGAAAAGAAAAAGAAAGGAAGGAAGGAAGGAAAGAAGAGAAGGGAAGGGAAGGGAAGGGAAGGGAAGGAAAGGGAAGGGAAGGGAAGGGAAGGGAAGAAGAAAAGAAAAGGAAACCCTACAGGAGTAAGATGCAGAAATCCAAGTATTAGCTTTATCAGCTGACACAGAAAGCCTGCGTGGAGGCCCCAGCTTTCATGCCTAGCTGCTGCTGGCTCACTGCTTCCAAATTAGACTGCAGAGCTGTGTGTGACTGGTCTCTAGTCAACACCCCAGTCAAAGGGAGAGGATGGAAGGACGGTTATGTGCTAGACAGACAGACAAGCTCAATTATAAAAAATGCCAACACCCTTGTGGGCTGCCTAAGCTAAGCATCCTCCATCTGTTCCAAGCCCACCGATCAGGCAGGCTCTTCCCCCACACCCACCCTCCCATCCCAGCGTGAGGAGCAGAATGGGAAGCCCTAAGTAATGGCCCTATTAAATCTTCCCGAGAGCTGTGAATTCTTTCTGCTCTGCTGAAGCAGGAGCTGAGCTTTATACTTGACCAGTGGTTACCATAGTGAGCAATGTGAGTGTTGCTTGTCTGTTCCTTCACCTGGAAAATGCAGGAACACAGTCCTCCAGCCGTCAAAGTGAGGCACCGTTTACACGGGCATGTGTGTGAGAGACAGACATGTCCTTCGGTCAGAACCCATCTGAGCTAGAACCGCCGCTCCCTAGGTATAACATTTATCTTTATTCTCATTCTGAATCCCTAATCTGGTCATTTTCCTCCCTCTCCTATTTTTGTTTAAACTGGGAGTCCAGTAAGTCAGCTTGAATTCATTCATCCTGGCCAAATCATTGCTAATCTAATCTGTGTGTTTGAAAACTCGCTAACTTGAACAAAGAAGGCACTGGGAACAACTGGGTATACTTTAGAATTATGAGATTGGTTGTACCTGCGAAGTCAGCAGGCCACCATCTGTATAGTGCATGGCCACAGGCAGGCTTCAAACAGGAGATTGTATCTTTATTCATCACGTTCAATGTCATTGCCTTGCCTGGAACAATACTGTGCCATTTCTCTGCTAAAGATAATCTAGGTGGGCCTTGAAACTGCAGTCGTTCAGAGCAGTAGGACACGGGTGAGCCTTGAAACTGCAATCATGCGGAGCATTAGGATACTGGTGAGCCTTGAAACTTCAGTCTTGCAGAGCAGAAGGATACTGGTGAGCCTTGAAACTGCAATCATGCAGAGGAGCGCTCATACATAATGAGTTTTAGGAAAGGATTTTCCATCCAGGGAGTTTAGACAGCCAGAAGGCACTAAACATAAGTGATGACCCGAGCAGATTCGCATTTGAGGTAAACGTGCATCAGAGAAATGAGAGATGGATCAGGAGGACAGCTGATCGGAGACCTGTTTGAGTCAGATGAGAAGGGAGACAGGCCGCATCAGGTCGGTGAGATTAGGAGACTTGCAGAGTGGACTAAGGAGGATTTCGGCTTAAGTAGGACAACTGTTAAGATACAATTTCGAGCTGGGTGATGGTGGCACACGCCTTTGATCCCAGCACGCTGGGAGGCAGAGGCAGGCGGATCTCGTGAGTTCAAGGCCAGCCTGGTCTGCAGAATAAGTTCCAGGACAGCCAGGGCTACACAGAGAAACAAAACAAAAAAGGGATTACAAATGACTTGGCTGCCCAGGACCCTATTCCTGCAGGGTTGGAGTCACTTTAGAGGATCCAGCCCAGGAGGAACCATTGCAACTGGAAAGAGAAGGGCCAGCAGAAGATGTCCCCACAGGGTGCAGGGTGAAGCTGCTCTTGTACCCCACACGTGGTGGAGAGGCAGAAGAGGAGAACATAATGAGAACAAGCCATGTATTGGGAGCGCTTGGGGAGGGGGCACATGCCTTCAAGAATACCAGCACTTAACAAACTCCTGTCTCCCGCATAATAACATCTAAATATTCAAATAAAGTGCATGAAGTCTCATTTAACTTTCTAAAACATTTAATAAAGCCATATACCTCATGGGATGCTCAGCCAGACATTGTTTATGTTGTGAACTTATGTCTATTTTATTTGTTTGGTTTTAACAACCTCCTTTTGCTTTAAAAGTTGCCTGGGACGGAGGGAATTCAGTCTCTGGAATGGGTTGCCCTGTGGTTTATTTTTATAGGATGTTATTAGATGTTCAAGATTTTGAAAGAGCAGTCTAGAAGCAGTGATCGAGGAGAGGCTAGTGGGTGCTGTTTCTTGCAGGGTGGAAAAAGGAGTCCATTTTGTGGCGCTAGGACGGCCAGTACCATCCCCCTTTCGTTCCTTCCTGTCTGCGTGCGTCAACCATCAGTGCTCTCTGTCCGTATTAAGCCCTTTCAGCCTGTCCATCGTGTGCCACGCAGGCTGCCAGGGGTCCTCCCACCTCCGCCTCCCGTTGCCAGCGCTAAATTGCAGGTGTGTGCTGCTGCATTGGCTGTTTGTGTGGGTCTCGGAGATACAAACTCGGGCCCTCGCGCTTGGGAGGCAAACATTTCCCCAACGGAGCCGTCTCCCCAGCCCCCATTCATAGAGTGTCAGGAACGGGACGCAGACTGTTTAACACACAAAGCCTTCGCTTTTGCTGAGATCTTGTGATGTTGAGCTGGCAAGCACCTGCAGAGTGAGTGTGCAGTCTCTCTGCAGGTCCCTTTGAAACTGTGCTGACCTGTTTTGTGCAGTGTGCTAGAATTGAAAACATGCATGTATACATACATACATACATACATACATACCACACTTCTAGATTGAGTTCCCTGAATGCTAACTCACCGTCCCAAGCCCTAGTACCAGGAAAACTGCCAGATACCACTATGATGCTGTACACGTATTAATTCACGTAGTCTCCACAACCATTCTATGAATTAATTACCCGCCATTCTTACCCCCATTTTGTAAATTAGAAAGCTGGGGCACAGACAGAGTTTAATTTAGCCCAAGTTTGATGACTAGGTAGAAGAGTAAGATACAAACCCAGGTAGCCCAAGGCTGCACCATCCAGATGATCATTCAGCCATACTGACCTTCTACCCCGGTATAAATGCCACCATGAAGACGCAGAGAGAAGACAACCGAAAGTGATGGTAGTTAGGTTACAACATGGATTTTGATTTAAAGTCTGTGTCTGTTGCGCACATGAGTGCCTTGCTTCTGTCGCCTTTCACGCCTTCCCACCGCCATGGCTTCCTGTACCCAGAGGGAGCCTGTTTCTGTTTCAGAACCTCACGCCACGGTGGGCCGGCAGGGACGGCTGAACGGGGTTAGACAGTCGTGGGGCAGGAGTCGTGAGCCACCGTGAGCAAGCCGATTGGAGGCTGCTTGGCACTTACTCTCCCCATAAGGCCCTGTCACACTCCGGAAGTATGATTTAATCCCGGATAAGATCATCCCATTTGACCCCCTAATGAACTGTCTAAACCTCATCCTCTACATCTTACCCTGGGGAATCTGACCAATAAACAGCCCGGTGTAAATTGTTGACTCTCTTAGCTGAACCACAAAAAAATAGGGGTTTCTTTTTTTTAATGATTATTATTATCTCTACCTCTCTTTTCCCCTGCACACTGCTTAAAGAGAACCTGAGAACTCACTGCCCAGTGGAAGACCCCTGGACTGTGGCCTGGCTGTGCCCTTGGCTGGGCTGGAGGGAGGAGGGAAGACGGATTTAATCAAAAGAGGCCCTGTAGAGTTGCAAAGAAGAAGCAGCCGCGCATAGGCCACAGGGCTTCTCTTCCCGGAGCCCATGGGCCAGGCTTCTGGGAGCCCCAACCATGAGAACCTTCAGGTATCATTCAGACAAACCTGAAGTCAATAAGAGCATCAGAGACACAGTTGAGCTACCGGGAATCAGTGCACCATTTCGGTTGTTGGAAAACGCATGGGCAACTTTGAGAAGAAAACAACTTTTCAGAACCGGAATACACAGAGTACAGCAGGTAGTCTTTAGAGGATTGTAGCAGTTCATTCAAGGTGCAAAGCCTAAACTTGGCCCCACAGTACCGTGTTGTTTAACACAAGGGCACAGTGTTGATGCAGCTTAGTTGGTCAGATTCCAACGGAGTGTCTTGGTCTCCAACTCTAACTCCAATATTTTCTCTCTCTCTCTTTTCTCCACCCCCCTAAACACACATACGTACACACACACACACACACACACGAAAGAGACTCTTGGTGGTGGGGTTATCGGTGTTTTTCTGTACCCTTTTGTCTTAGAATTAGGGCATCAGATAGTCCTCTATAAAAGCGCTTACGCCTTCTTTAAAATACAGAATTAGTTTATATACAATATTTACTGCTGACTGATTTTCAGTCCAGCGAGATAGAAACGTAATGCACAGAAATTCAAGCAGAAATGGAGGAAGTGTCACCGGAAGCTGTCACTTACCTGCTTACGAGCCAGGAGTTGTATAATAACTTTGAATTCAAGCCAGTTCTTCTCATTTTGAAAGGTTATGCCCTTTTCTGTTTTAAAAGTGTTAACCCTTCGCTGTTTCCCCCGCAGAAAGGCTTCACTACTTGACATGGTTGAACTTGACTCTCAGCTTGCTTGGATTGGGGTCTACCTGGGAGACGGTGCACAGCTAAACACCTCTGTGTCTGTCTGTGAGCGTGTCTCCAGAGACCACTAAGAATGAGGCCTCGGGCTGGAGAGATGGCTCTGCCGTTAAAGGCTAGGCTTACAACCAAATATACAGAAATGAGGACTCTGATCTAATGAATGAACTAATA